TGCTGTGAGCTAGGCTGACGCCATGGCACTCTAGCCTGGACAACAGAGTGAGACTCTGTCAACAAACAAACAAACAACAACAACAACAAAAAAAAAACCAAGAAACTGGTGTTGGTAAAGGAAAAGGCCAGGACCAGCCGTTGCAGACTATAGGTCAGAGGTCGAAACGAAGGCGGCTGTGACTCCCAGGAGGGCATGGGGGGGAGGGGAAGGGACGCGCCCGGGTGAGTGAGGGCCGTCCCCACACGGTGGGAAGCTGGCGCCAACCCCGCTGGGGTCCGAGAGAGACCAGGGTGCGGGCCTGAGTCACAAAGATGCTCTTGCCAAGTTCCTCAAAAATCCTGAGTAAGTCCGCATTTCACATTCCGGGTGCTTGCTTTAGGCTTGTTGTTAAAGGACAAAGCAGTCCACCCCCTTGTACACGCCATTTCCTTGTTGTGATGGCTCGGGACCCGAGACGTCCAACACGGTAGCCATGGGTCACCCGTGGCTGTTGAACAGGGGACGCAGTGGCCACCAGAGAGAGACACGCCGAGCCCGGAGGACTCTGGGAAGGAAAGAACGTGACCCCCTCGTCCGTACTTTTTGTATTGGTTACGTGTTGGAGTGATGCTGGGCTGAATAAAACATATTGTTAAATGAATTCCTCTGGTTTCTTTTCGCTTTCTCTAATGTGGCTGCTGGAAGCCCCAGTCACAGGGGTTGCTCCTCACCTCCCCTTCCCACCGGCAGCACCGGGCTGGGCCCTGTCACCCGACTTTCTCCAACTGCAGATGACCCTCTCCCCGCTTTCTGCTCTCAAACGCCAGCAGCCGTGGCAGCAGCGGGGCGCCCAGCTCTGAGGCGCATGCCACACACTGCCCCGCTCCCCAAGGGGATCGCCCTGGGTGTTCCCCAAATCCTTTGGCGACTTTAGTGCCTGGCTCACAGCCATTTCTCTCACCATGTTCCTGCATTTCATCGCCATTTCTCAGCGATCTCAATGCCACGTGGATAATTCCCCCAGCACCCCGGTGTCAGGTGCTGATCTCACCTGCACAATGGCCTTGGCCTCCGCTCTGCCGGCCACGGCCCTCACCCCGCGCTCGTGCCCTGCGCTTGTCGATGCCAGCAGCCCCAAGCCACGCTGCCCCCATGTCAGCTTCAGCATGCCATTCTCCAACCCCCACGTCCTAGTTCCCCTTCGCTGCCTTTCGTACTCAGACTTCAGGACTTCCCCAGCACCCAGGCTCTCCGCCAGGTTGCTCCTGTCTCCTGCTCACATCTGTCACCTCCCTGCGCCCTCACTCCTCTCCTGCCCTGCCAGTTCCACAGCCTGTCACCATAGCTGTTCCCGTCCACACACGATGCTTCCTTTGGCCACTCCCTGTTGCATCTGCCTGGTGAAACCCCGGCCCTGGTTAAATCCAAGTCTCCTCCTTCCCCGCCCTGGCACCTGCACAGCGGGACCGGAGCCAGAGAGAGGCACGCAGACACTGAATCGTCACTCAAGTCCGTGAGCTCCGGCTTAGCCGGGCCCCAGATCTTGCCTGGCCAGACGTCCTGCCCTGTGTGTCTTTCCCTAGTGCCCTCTCCCACTGGGTGATCTCGCGTCTTGCCCTCTCCCTTGGACCCTCAGCATCTCCTCCCTTAGCTGATGACCTTGCTCCTTACTTTGCTGAAAAAAACATTGATGTGCATTCAGAAGAGAACTTCTGACTTCCAACACGTGCACAGCCACGTCTACCCACCTAGCTGCATGTGCAGCTGCGCACTCTGCCCTCCCTCTGCTTCCCTGAATAAATTATGCTCCTAGGGAAGCCAGTGACTGCCCCGCCCACTCCACACCCCTCCACACCCCTGCTTCCAGAGTCGTCCGCTGTTTTCTCTCTGCTGGACAATTCCTATCTTTTTGTCAACTCTCCTCTAGCACCACGGCACCCAAGAGTGTCGTCTGCACTCTGTTCCCACTTACTCTCCTGCCATTCCCTCTGAGTCTGTCCATCTTTTCCACTCTACCGAAACTACCCTTGCCAAGGTTGCAGTGACCCTGTCTCACGGTCAAGTTCCAGTTCTCACCCCACTTGAACTCTCAGTAGAATTTCGGTGGTGGCTCACACTCCCTTCCCCTCGAGCACTTTCTTACCTGGCTTCCTGGTTGCCACCCTCCCTCGGTTGTCCTCCCGCATCCCTGCCAGGTCCTTCTTAGCTTCCTTTGCTCCTTTCTCCTCCTCTCCCCAAACTCCCACCTCTGAAATGCCCCAAGGCTCCATCCTCGGATCCCTTCTCCATTTTAATCTCTCACATTTCGTAGGTATTCCCACCTAGCCTCATGATTTAAGACCCCCCCTGTGTGCACACAGCACCCACGTTTATGCCCCTGCCGACCACTGCGCCCATCAGGGCACTGCCCTGGACTCTCCACCGGCTGCCTCCCCGTCCTGCCCCACCTGCTCCGGGTCCACTGGGCAAACGGCCGGACACTCACTCCCTCTGCACCAGGACACATCTCCGCCATCAGCAAGTCAGATCCACCGGGCTCCACCAGGTCTCGCCGCCCGTCCACCCCACACACACCGTCCTCTTGATCAGCACGTCCGCCTCCCTCCTGGCCGCCTTGCTGCTGCGGCCGCTGGAGTCTGAGCACAAGGGCCGCAGTAAGTCTGTCGACGCCTCAGTCCCAGCAAGCGAATCCTGTCGTTCCTCCTCGCAGAGCCCTCCAGTGCTTTCCTGTCCCGCTGGGAGGAAAAGCAAAGTCCTTGCCTGCAGGGCCCTGTTGGATCTGGGCCCCCAGGACCTCCCCATTCTGCCCCTTGCTAGGATGTCCCAGCTGCGGCGGCTCCGTCCTGCTTGGGGACCTCTGAACTTGCTGTCCCCTGTGCCTGGAATCCTCGTCCCCCAGCGCATGCAGGGCTCGATCGCCCACGTCCTTCGGGTCTTTGCCCAAGGGTGACCTCGCTAGTGAGGCCTTTCCGTCACCGTACGTACGTGTGACAGAAGCCCCACGCCCTTGCCTCGCTTTCTCTCCAGCTCTGCTTTCCTTCCTTCCGTAGCACTTGCGACCCGACGTCGACTTATGTGTCCCCGTGGTTTGTATTCAGTTACTGACTGCCTCCCCGCTGGCACAGAGACTCCACGAGGATGGCACTTTGTCTCTTTTATTCACTGCCGAATCCCACGTGCCTAGAACAGCGTCTTACCGCCGGGTCAGTGCTTGCTGGCTGCGTTTGGGGACTGTGGCCGTCTCACCTGCAGACGTCTGACAAAGCCCGGTCTCTGCAGCAGATCTTTGATTAGCGAGTCGCGGTACCGAGAGTTCTGGTCCTTGTGTGGGTTCTGAGGTGCCAGGTCCGTGACTTCTAATTATGAAATGGAAGGAGAACCTGCCGCGGCGGAGGTGATTTCCCTGTCGTGTCCGAGCCACTGAGGGAGGCGTGAGTGGGACCGTGGAGCAGGGACCTCCTGGGCCCCCGGCCCACGTCCCTGGGAAGGCAACCGCCGTTCCACCAGCTAACTAGTCCGGGATCCGGGCACAGGGGTACCGAGATGGACACTCGGGGCGCTGCACGTGCCGGGGCCCCGCTGCCTCTGCTCTGTGGACTTCTAATGCCAGGAGAGCATTTGCGCGGAATAACACATTTGCCACTGTTTTGCTTCAGGTGACCTTATGAGGAAAAGGCTCATTGAAAATATTCTTTTGATCAACTTCCTAAGGACAAACTTCAAAAAACAAAGGACAATGTTTTACGGCCCCCTCCCCCAAACTAAAGAAAACCCAACATTTTTTTTTTTGAGACAGAGTCTCGCTTTGTTGCGCAGAGCTGAGGAGTGCCGTGGCGTCAGCCTAGCTCACAGCAACCTCAACTCCTGGGCTCAAGCAGTCTGCTGCTCAGCCTCCCGAGTAGCTGGGACTACAGGCATGCGCCACCACGCCCGGCTAATTTTTTTTTCTATATATGTTAGTTGGCCAATTAATTTCTTTCTATTTTATACTAGAGACTATAGTATAGTCTCGCTCTTGCTCAGGTTGGTTTCGAACTCCTGAGCTCAAACCATCCACCCGCCTCGGCCTTCCAGAGAGACCCAAGATGTTTTTTTAAAGCCAAGGACAGGTAAGGTTAGGAGAAGGGAGGCGATCTCTGCTGGCAGCCTCCTCTCCCTTCCCCACGGGGCGGCTGGCGCACACTTGTTACAGCAGGAGCCTGGGGCTGTGCGCATATTTATTTTGCAATTAGTGAAAGTGGAGGGAAAGTTTCTGATAATCTTTACATTGCAGCCTGGAATGCTCAGCATTTTACTGGTTCCTGGCGAGTGCTCCGCTTGGCGACTGTGGATGGTGTTTTCCTGCAGTCTGGCCTGTGGTATGCGGGCACGAAAACACACGTTGCTAGGCCGGCACCATCTGCCCCACAGAGCGCTGGTTTGCACAGCTCGTGTAGCCTGAGTAGGGCCCCGGCTTGGTCGCAGAAGCTGAGGCCACGAAAAAATAAATGCCTTTTAACTGTTCAACATTGGTACAGTGTCAAACCAGGCTGTCCTGGGCACCCCCTCTCATTACTCACTGTGTATGGTACTTTAAGTATTAAAAAATGGCAACAGCAGCATTGCCCAAACATGCATTTTGTCATCGAATATTAGTGCGAGCTGCCTGCTCCCTCAGGCAAGGAAACGGGGGTGTAGAAGACGAAAGGGCTTTCAAAACGCCACCCAAGATCCGGTGACGGGTCTTGCGCCAGGGCCTCTGCCCCCCGCCCTGCCAGCTCGTTTTTGGCCCCGAGCCCCAGGCAGATAACGGCCCAGAATGCAGGGCCGCTGGGGAGCAAGGAAGGCCGTTGGATCCGTTCTCTCTTGGAGAAAACGCTAATCTTACCGTTGCGAGGAGGAAGGGTGTTGAGTATTGCACAGTCTGCCGCACTCTCTTTTACAACATGAAGGTCATGATCTCTAGCTGAAATTCTCCCTTTCATGCCAATCCACCGGTTTTCATGGTTGTTTTGTTTTTGTGTTTGACTTGTTTACAGAAAATTACCTGTGAAGCCCCCGTCTGAGGCCTCCTCATGGCCGAGTGGAACGAGTGGAACGTGACGTCGTTGGTGGCCGAGGAGACCACCAACGCCTCCGCCGGGGGGAACGCCTCGGAGGGCGGCCTGCAGCGGCACATCCCCGCCGTGCACTGGGTGATCATGAGCCTCTCGCCGCTGGGCTGCGTGGAAAACGGGGTTCTGCTCTGGTTCCTTTGCTTCCGCATGAGAAGAAACCCCTTCACCGTCTACATCACCCACTTGTCCATCGCCGACATCTCCTTGCTCTTCTGTATTTTGATCCTGTCGATTGACTATGCTTTAGGTTTCAGGCTCTCTTCTGGCCATTACTACACCAATGTCACGTTGTCGGTGACGTTCCTGTTTGGCTACAACACGGGCCTCTATCTGCTGACGGCCATCAGTGTGGAGAGGTGCCTGTCGGTCCTCTACCCCATCTGGTACCGGTGCCACCGGCCCAAGCACCAGTCGGCATTTGTCTGCGCCCTCCTGTGGGCGCTCTCTTGCCTCGTGACCATCATGGAGCATGTCATGTGCATCAGCAGTGGAGAAGAGAGCCAGTCTCCAAGCGGCTGCAGAGCAGTCATCATCTTCATAGCCGTTCTGAGCTTCCTGGTCTTCATGCCACTCATGGTGGCATCCAGCACCATCTTGGTAGTGAAAATCCGGAAGAGCACGTGGACTTCCCATTCCTCCAAGCTGTACATAGTCATCATCGCCACCATCATCATCTTCCTCATTTTTGCCATGCCCATGAGGCTCCTGTACCTGCTGTACTATGAGTACTGGTCGACGTTTGGGAACCTACACCATATCTCCCTTCTCTTCTCCACGATCAACAGCAGCACCAACCCTTTCATTTACTTCTTCGTGGGCAGCAGTAAGAAGAAGCGGTTCAAGGAGTCCTTGAAAGTGGTTCTGACCAGGGCTTTCAAAGACGAAACGCCGCCGAGGCGTGAGGAAGACAACTGTAACACCATCGCAGTGGAGACTGTCGTCTAAGGACCGCAGAGGGAAACTGTGGGTAAGGACGGTTGAACACAGACCGTTTTTACTTTGTGCTTGGAATACAGCTAAAGAACCTCCCAGATACGATACAGAAGGACACCCCATCCCATGTGCATGAGAGATTAACTAACGCTGAGGTTGTGCTCTTGTACTGTATCTTCTGGAAATGCCTAAATACATGCCGGACCTCTGTCCCATCTGTACTTAGCAAAAGCTATTTCTGTGCTTCTCAGCTCTTCTGGCAGCATTTTACCATGGACCATACAAACTACTCTAGTAGGAAGATTCACAGATGTGTGCAGGAAAAGGTAACAGATGTATTTGTCGGAACTTGGGGGGCAGCTCGATGTAGTGAGAAGAGCAAGGGTTGCTGCCTGGGTGACATCAGGCAAGGGGTTTAACCTCTCGAAGCCTCGTTCTTCACTTACAAAATGTCACAGTCATAGTCTCTGCCTCCCAGGCCCGTTGTGAAGATGAAATGAGAAGATAAGGTTTGCAAAGCACCTGGCACATTGTTGATGTTCAATGAACATCAGTCTCTCCTCACTCCTTTGAGTGGCAGACAAAAATGTATATCTGTGTTTTGTAAAGCACACACACACACAAACACACACACACACAGCTCTATCGTGTGTAAAATTTGGTATGTGTTTTAAAATGTTGAGTGTAAATTTACAAAGGTCTTCTTTTTGCTTGCAGCATGAAAGCTTTTCATGGCATAACACCTCTATTGAAAACATTGGCTGATGTTATAATCTCACCGACCACGTGTTAGAGCATCATCTTGGGTTGTGAAGAAAAACATTTGGCCATCAATAGAGGAGTGTCTCGTGGCTTCCCTTCCCTCTTTGGAAATACTAGATGGAATGAGAGTCTGTGTTTTGAAATCCTTTGATTGCATATAATGTTCAGGAATGAAACTGAATTCAGGAGCTCACCAGGGTGATTGTGCTTTTGAAGACCCCTCCCATCCCATGAACCGGTGAGTTATTTACAGCCACGAATTTCCCACCTGCAGCCAGATGCAGGTCTCTGCACCCCATTCCTGCCCTCCTGTAGCATTTCTTTGCATCATTCCCGGGAGGAGACTCAGTGGCAGGGGCTAATAAGAAGGTGGCCACATATTGGGGGAATCTGGACGTTTTCCCTCGTGACAGATCTTTTCACGACTTCCTCAGCATCTTTACTCGGCACCCGCCCAGGATGGGCTCTGCCTCTCACCTGCTGCCAGCTGCCATCCTCAGACTGCGTGCCCCAGGTTTTAGCTGTGACACCCATCTTGGCCTAGAGACTACGTTGTTATGTTTGTTTCCTTCTGCCCTGTCCAGGATTTCCATGAAAACAACAATGTTTCATGAGATTCTATGGGGAGTACAGTTTCAAGTCCATAAATGAGCCCATTCGTATTTATTTTAGCTGTTTGTTCTCCAAAAGGATCAGAGGAGCTACAATGAAATGGATCTTGGTTGCTTCCTGTCCATTCTCTGTCCTCTTCCTTTTTCAAAAGAAAGGCTTGACCTTCACTGGGAAAGACCAGTGAGTCCCTCCCACTGAGCACGGACCCCACTGCCAGCCGAGCTTGGATGCAGGAGCTTTCGGTGGGTGATGACATCTGATTCAGGAACAAGGCAGCTTGCTTGCAGGAGCCCAGATGGGGCGTGGAGTGATGACATTTAGAATGATCTTGTTTTGGGTTGAAAACAGAGCCTCTTCGCCGGGAAAGAGCAGAATATGGAGCTTAGAGTGAGTCCTCTCTGTTTCCCGTCGTCTCCCTTGATGCTGCTCGCGGGCCCTGGGTCAGCAAGAGGATAAACCTCATCTCATCCCATGTGGGAGCTTGGTCTCAGAGAGGAGCATGAAGATTACAAGATATAGAGAATTTCCGCCTAAGGAAAATATGTTGAACTAATGGGAAGCCCCCATTTATCGCTTTTCTGCAGATAAAGTGGGAAAATTGAGTGTGATAATAAATACAAAAATTCTTCCAACCTTTTAAAGCAACGCCTTAAAAAGGGTAGGATTCAGAGGTTAGCTCTCTCTTCCCCTAAACCCATTCCCAACGTGAACTATAAGGTTAAAACTACAACAAGAAGATGTAAGTAAATTTGTAAATATGGAGAGAAGACTAAATAAGTTATACCCTTTGGGCATTTAGATAATTTGGCTAAGTCATTGTTGGTTACTGGGTGGCATTTCTGAGAATTCTCCGCAGATGGGGAGGAGATTGCTGGGATATAACGCCAACCCTAAAGAAGAAGAAGGGTTTATAGCATTCACACAAGTGGCCTTCTCTGCAAAACGCCATAATGTGGACAAGGCAAAGATGGGTGAATGGAAGGCCCCATCCTCTGTAATAGGAGAGAACGACACACACACAACTACAGCTCCAAGCTGCACACAACTTTGTGTCGGGAGTGTTTGGCACAAGGTTGTGTGGCAGTTAAGAAAAAGACAAAATCACATTTTTTTGCAGTAAAAAAAGAATGTTTCATGGAGGTGCCCTTTGGGTTGGTTGCTTGAAGGCAGGTAGGATTTCACAGATTAAGGAGGGACAGAGGGGACCCCAGGCAGAGGATGGCTATAAGGGTAGGCAAGGACCCAGCAACCTGAGGAAGCAAGTCCAGTCATTGTCATCTCTGCTGACTGGTAGGAGAAGTGGTCCCCGGGGACTCAGCCTGTGTGTGCGACCACCTCCCTCCTCCCTCCTCTCTTTGTTGTGATTATCTTTGACCTTCTAGCACCACATTCTTCAAGTTCCTTGGAACCAGGCTCCGGGCTTTCTCTCCAGGCCATGCTCACCGTCATCCAGCGCTGCCCACGCCTGGCCCTTCCGAGTCTCGTCCCCGCAAGTCTGCCGCCGTCCCCCAACCCCTGTCTGAACTCAAGTGGCCTGCAGCCCTGCTCCTTTTTGAACTATACTTTGGGTCTTATTGCAACCTGAAATCGATCCTCTTGTTAATAGAAAGACCAAACTCTGTCGAATATGTTAAAGAGATTTATTCTGAGCCAAAAGATGAGTGGCTGCAGCCCAGAGATACCCAAACCCAAGAAACCTAGAGTAAGTGGCCCCGAGGTTACAGTCAGGTTACAGTTTGGTTTTATATACTTCAGGGAGGCAGGAATTGTAGGTTAAACCATAAATCACTACATGGAGGGTGTACATGAGTTTGGCCCAAAAAGGGGGATATCTTGAAGCAGGGGCTTACAAATCATGGGTGCATTTAGAGATTCTTTAATTGGCAATTGGTTGAGAGAGTTAAGCTTTGTCTACAAATTTGGAGTCAGTAGGAAGAAATGCTTAAGTTAAGAGGAGGGGGTCTGTTGTCTGTCATGTGATGCCATGCCAGTTTCTTACAACATGCTGATTGTGTTCTGAAAAGAAGCCTGAGAATGAGCTTTTCCAACAGGCCAAAAATCAACTGTTGAGTTCTCATTTGTTTAAAATAATTGGCAAGTGGTTGAAATCACAGTAAATTTTGGTAAAAACAAAATAAAAATATATTTTTTTCATAATTCTAATTTCACTTTTTTTCCAGGATTTTATATGAAATTGTGGCTCTAATATTAACAAGATTATTTTTAACAAACTTTACTAAAACCAGTCATCCCTGGATAGCAAGATCCTCTTACACTAAATATTTAAAAATGTATACATATGAGTGTTAATACGACGAGTTGAATTTCCAAAGCAGGTTCTATGTGAATTACAGATCTTACCCAACACAAAACTAATGATTCAAATGATAAGAGGCACGTGCCAGGCACAAATGAAACATTCTTTTCTGGAGGAACCCAAAACTTTTAATTGTTTCTATCTCTTTGTCAATTTTTCATTTCATTTCTGAATTTTCCAAATTTCATTTAGTTTTCTATCTGTATATTCTTGTGATTCCCTGAAAAATTTTAAGAAGATTATTCTGATTCTCTGTCTGACATTTCATAGATCTTTAATTCTTCTGGGTCCATTGCTAGAATTTTGTTGTTTTCTTTTGGTGGTGTCAAATTTCCCTGAGTTTTCATAATCCTTGAATCTTTATGTTGATGCCAGTGCATTTGAGAAGACAGCCATCTCTTCTAGTTTTTGCAGGTGTTCTTTGGTGGTGTCAGAGTGTTACTGGTTAGTATCAGAACTTAAACACTGCTCTGTTGTTGCTTTCCATTCTGGGAAGGACTTATAGTGAGCGCCAGAACCAAAACGCTGTGCTGAAACTAATTTGTTGTCCTGCCATTGTTTCCTGGTCTGGGGAAGACTTACAGTGAGCACTGGAACTTAAACATTGCCCTGGAACTATATTGCAGCCCTGCCATTGTTTCCCTTTCTGGGGAAGAATTAAGTGGGCATCAGAACTCAATCCTGACCTTCTAGTTGTTTTTGGGCCAAGAGGAAGGCTTGTTGAGCATCTGGGCTTTGTGGGAAATGCAGCCAGGCATTTGGACCTTCCTGAGAACTGTGCCCCTTGCAGTGCTCAGGTGCCAGCCAGTCTCTTCAACATGGCACCCCTGCCAATCAGAGAACAAAGCAGCCACCAAGGTCTGTGCACCACTTGCTGGAACCAGTGCTCCATTCTTTGTCCCAAATTCACCTCAGGTGGTTCAGTGCCTCCTGGCACTCCCAGTGGTTCCTGTGGGACGGACCAGAGTGGGCTTCCCATGGAGATTCCCAGGCCAATGAGGAGGTTGAGTGTTCGCCTGCAGTTCTCTCCTCTCACTCCGAAAACCATGGGTCTGGGGAAATTCTCTGTGAGTGGCGTCATGCCAGCTTGAGGGTGGGCTGAAGCCTAAGATGACCAGTTCTGTTACTGGCTGTGGCTTCTCTTGATTCCGTGGGCCCAGGGGGTGTTTCTCCACTTTCCCCGAAGTGCTGGTGAATTCAGGGTGGTATTCTTGTCTCTGAATCCTTTCTAGCTGTAGTTTTGTGGAGGTAGTGATTCCAGAGAGTCTTCTATTCTGCCATCCTGCTGATGTCCCCCAAATTTTAAGATTCATCCCCCCAAAATATCCCATTCTCCTACATTGGAACATATTTTAGTTTCAGATTGACTGATGAGTTTTGAACAATGTATATAGATATGTTATTCTCAAAGGAGGCTGGTTAAGTCTGGCGGCGCCTCTGTTTGTACTCTGTTAAAATTACACAGGCGGAAAATGCTCATGTGACTACCTGCCCCCCTTCTCCTGCCTTCCATGCCCCGTAAATTGATAAAACCCAAACGTATATGCAATAAACAATCTCGACAGATCAGGTGTATTCTACTGGAAACAGGACTAGTTCTCTGAATGTGTCATTTTTACAAAGCAGTCTGACAGAGCCCTTCAGCATCTGTGCAAGGAGCCTGGGTTGAGGTTACGCACGGGAGAAGGGAGTCCTCAGGGAAGGAGTGAGTTGCAGGTTTGATGCTAACAGCTCCTGGAGGTACCTTCAGCCAACACCAGGCTGTCAATGTCTGAGGCAGGAATCTTGCTGGGGGAGAGGGAAGAACCCATACTCGGTGAGGAGGACTAGCAGCCTGGCTATCTGCTCAGGAACTGTTCAGGAGCCAACAGGTTAATCTCTGTGACCCTTGGTTACCATCTCTGTATAACTGGTGACTTAGCTGGAGCTCCAACCAAAGCAGATCCCAAAACAAGGATTTGGTGCAAGTAATTTATTTAGCTGCCATCCTGAGAAACCAGGAGAGAGTAGGAAATTTGGTGGGCAGGAAAAGGAGAAAGTCAACAAAGGGTGAGTTAAGGAGCATAGGGGCCCAGGACAGTGAGGACCCACCTCAGAGCTGTCCTCCTGGAGGGGTGAGGGAGCTACGGTGCTGACGCCCCACCACTTGCCTGTCCCCTACTGTGGAGGGTCACCTGCCTGGCTTCAACTCCCAGCTCTCCCAGGACTGTCCTGTGCTCAGGCTGAGCATGGCCCGTGGTGGAGAATACCTTGAGGCAGAGAGACACAGGGGCTGTGGGTAGACACAGCATCTACCCACCTGCAGGTGACCTTGGGGCTGGCTTCATGGCTGACCAACAGCATCTGTGACAAGGAGGAAAAAATAACCTACCCCACAGAGTAGCTGCACTGAGTAAGTGAAATAATGCCCGTGGACACCCTGTGTGAACCATAAACCATCAATCAAATGTTAGTTATTGGCCGGGCGTGGTGGCTCACGCCTGTAATCCTAGCACTCTGGGAGGCCAAGGTGGGCAGATCGCTCAAGGTCAAAGTTCAAAACCAGCCTGAGCAAGAGCGAGACCCATTTCTACTAAAAATAGAAAGAAATCAATTGGCCAACTAAAAATATATAGAAAAAATTAGCCGGGCATGGTGGCGCGTGCCTGTAGTCCCAGCTACTCGGGAGGCTGAGACAGGAGGATCGCTTGAGCCCAGGAGTTTGAGGTTGCTGTGAGCTAGGCTGACGCCATGGCACCTCTAGCCCGGACAATAGAGTGAGACTCTGTCTAAAAAAAAAAAAAAAAAAATTAGTTATTCCTTGAGGACATTATGCAAAGTGAAATAAGCCAGGCACAAAAGAACAAAGCCTGTGTGATTCCACTCACATGAGGTTGCTAGAGTGGTCCGATTCACAGAGACAGAAAGCAGAGGGTGGTTGGCAGGGGTTGGGGGAGGGAGGCACGGGAGCTCGTGTTTGATGGGTGCTGAGTTCGGGAGATAAAACGTCCTAGGGGTCTGTTGCATGACAATGTGCATACGGTTAACACCGCTCTACTGTGCATTTAGAAATGGTTATGAGGGTATGTTTTATGTTATGCATATTTTGCTACAGGAAAAAATAATTAGTTAATACACTTCGAGGCACCGGGTGTGTTTCTCAGAATGCTGGGCAGCACCCGACCCAGTGGAGGCAGCAAGTCAGTCCCAGGGGTGGAGGCAAAGCCCTCTGTCCCCCCAGTGGGGGCCTCTGGCCCTGTCCCAGTGAGAGGCAAAGACGTGAGGCCAATTGCATCTCAGAAGCTGCATTTTTAAACGAGTGCCGGAGCCCCTGGAACAGCCCCACGCGATTCCGGCGAGGCGCCCTAAGGGCCACACGGGAGCCGTTTGTGCCTTTGGGAGAGCGGTACAGTCCGTGTTGCAGCGACTCGGCCCTGCGGCTGTGCGGATGCAGCCACAGACAGGCTTAAACGAGCAAGGATGGCTGTGCACCGATGCAACTGTATTATGGACACTGGAAGTTGAATTTCATGTAATTTCCACAAATCATAAAAATTCTCCTTTTTCCCATCAGCCATTTAAAAATGTAAAAGAACTATTTTTTGCTTGCAGGCTATACAAAAAACAGGTGGCAGCCAGATTTGGAGGTGGCCGTACTTTGCCATCAGTAGCCTAGAGTGCTCTGGGGACCTTCCTTCTGAGATTCCCGTCCAAGTGGCTGCAGCACACCCATTTGACAATCCTGACCTCGGGGGTGGCAAGTCTGCATCATTTCATGGTGGACTGAACTTTGCACAAGGACCAGCAGACATCCTGACTCAAACCTGATGGATAAGATTGGTGTCACGTTGAAAAATTCTGTTTTTCTATATGGTGATATAGAAAATGAGAGAGATTTTCCTTGGTAGGTAAATTGTCTGTAAATTCCAATTCTGTGTGCTCAGGGATTATTCTAATCACTCATATTGAACTATATTCTCTGCTTTCAGAGGCAATTATTGGAATTTTCCAGAGATTGGGGATGAAATGTTCATTTATAAGAATATTTTATTGAGTTTTTAGAAGGATAACGATCTCACATATGGCTTTTGGGTACAGCATGAATAAAACGTAGTTGCTGACAAGTTAAAAACCGGAACATTTCCTAATACTGAGTTGATTAGCACTTGCAAGCTCTGTGCCGTCACTACCCTAAACAAAGAACATAAGCCTCATCCCCATTTGCAGGATAAATTTTTCAGGAACTCAGTTGCAAAGCTCGTTATCACGCTGATTTATTGATGTGTGCTCTTAATCAAAGTGTACCCTTTAGAATTATTTGCTCTTAGGCAAATGTACAAAGCTAAAAACATTCCTTAAAATGCTTAGAACAAAATAACGGCACAATAAAACATTGTTAAGAATGCTTCAGGCTCATTAGCTCTGGTTGAGTATGGTTGATTGTTTATGGGAGTCAAACTGAGCCACCGAGTAGTCCCCATCTTTCTTCTTCCAAGCAGAGAGAAAACAGGTGAGGCCCAAGGGCTGAAGGCAATTTTTACTTCTGCATATGCTGAGCCAGGAACTCCCTAACCCAGTGATCATGTGACAGTGTGGAGTATATTTTTGGAGGGTTTGGTATCCCCCAAGTCTTGCCTTTTATTTCTATAGATCAAGAACAGGGGTATCTCCCAGCTGAATTTCAGGTTCGAGGGGTCTTCTGTTGAACACGTGAAGTAAAAAAGTCTGTGCTATTTTTACACAGATAAAGCTGTGCATCAGCAGGTGGCCCATCTCCGTCTTCAAGGTCCAACCCTTTTCTCGGGAACTGTCCTCTGGGAAGGTGCAGGACAGCACCTCAGCACTCCCTCCAGTGACCCTTCAAGTGTTAGCACTTTCAGACTCTTCCTGCTGACCTCTGACCTTTCCCTACAGACCTTGTGCCCAGCTGCTAGGGTCTGAATGTATGTGTCACCCAAATTCACATGTTGAAACTCCATATTAGGAGGTGAGGCCTTTGGGGTGATTAAGTCATGAGGGTGGAGACTTCATGGATGGGATTAGTGTCCTTATAAAAGAGGTCCAGGTTGTGAGCCAGGTGCAGTGGCTCACACCTGTAAGCCCAGCACTTTGGGAGGCTGGCCCAGGTGGGAGGGTCACTTGTGGCCGGGAATTCTAGACCAGCTTGAGCAACATAGAAGGCTGAGTTTCTGCAAAAATAAAAGGAAAATGAACCATATGTGGTAGTGGTGAGTGCCTGTAGTCCCAGCTTCTGTGGCAGGAGCAGGAGGATGGCTCAAGCCCAGGAGTTTCAGGCTGCAGTGAGCCACGATCGTGCCACTGCACTCCAGCCTGTCTCTAATAAACAAACAAACAAACAAATAAATAAATAAATAAAAGAAACCCAAGTTAGCTCCCTCACTGCCTCTGCCATGTGAGGACACAGCGAGAAGGTACCATCTACAAACCGGGAAGAAGGGCCCTCCCTCACCAGACACCCATCTGCCTTGATCTTGGACTCCCCAGCCTCCAGACCGTGAGAGATGAGTTTCTGTTGTTTACAATCACCCAGGCTACGGCATTTTGTTAAAACAGCCCGAGTGGACTCAGACACCAACTTCCAGTCATTCTCCGTATTTTCCGTGAAGCTGGTGAACTGGAGCGACAGAAGACAGTGCGGGGGACAGGCTGTCTCTGAGGGCTGCAGGGCTGCAGGAGCCTGCCCGCGGGCTCCTGTTTCCTCCCCGCACGGATGACAGCGCTGGGAAGGAGGGAATGAAATTCTAGCGCTTGGGAGGTGGCCCACAAGACCTGAGGAACCTGTGCCCTCTCTCTCTCAGATGATAGGGTGACCCCAGGTGACCAGAGGTGCCCGTCAGAGCCGATCTGAGCTCAGCAAAGGGCTGGCAGGGAAGCCGAGGCACGAAAGGGTTGTCCTCGAGTTCAGGTTTGTCTGTGGGATGACTGAGGTCGCCGCAGGTAAACTGTCTCAGGAAGTGTCCTCAGCCCCTGCCTTGGTTCACAGCCTGGGATTAGGGCAGGGGCTGGGTGAGAGGGGACGCGCCCGCTGTCAGCCTGGGCCGCCAGCCCTCAGTGACATCAGAGTGGACGGAGAGGATGCGTTCAGAAACATTTCTAGTAATTTGACAGAATAATTTCGTATCCATTGAATGTAATAATTAAAATATTAGACTTGTACTTTTATGACTTTGTCTTTTCTTTTTTTTTTTTTTTTATCTTTTTTTTTTTTTTTGAGACAGAGTCTCGCTTTGTTGCCCAGGCTAGAGTGAGTGCCATGGCGTCAGCCTAGCTCACAGCAACCTCAAACTCCTGGGCTCAAGCGATCCTCCTGCCTCAGCCTCCCGAGTAGCTGGGACTACAGGCATGTGCCACCATGCCCGGCTAATTTTTTCTATATATATTTTTAGTTGGTCAATTAATTTCTTTCTATTTATAGTAGAGACGGGGTCTCGCTCTTACTCAGGCTGGTTTCGAACTCCTGGCCTTGAGCAATCCGCTCACCTCGGCCTCCCAGAGTGCTAGGATTACAGGCGTGAGCCACCGCACCTGGCCGACTTTGTCTTTTTATTTCATTTCTAAATAGTTTATATGCATTATGCTTTGCAAAAGAAATGACCTGCAAATAAAAACGAACAGAAAACGCCCCTCGCCACAGTATGTTCGGCAAACATTGCTCTGTCTAGGCCTGGGAACCTAGACGGCCTCTCTTTTCTCTTCTGGGGAGCTGTGGTTAGCTGTAGAGGCTGCTGCTGTGTTATGTTGCATGGTATTGTCTGGTGGTGTGTTGTATCGTACTATGCTGTACCATACGACATTATGCTAGGTCTAAAGAAAAGCAGTCCTCAGTGACCTGAAGAAAGAAAAGTTTTTGAATCTTTGCCAAGGAGGCTGAGCTGTCTCATCAGGCGAGGCCTGGCCAGGTTGCTACTGTCGGCACCGCCCGGCGCGGCCTGCTGCACGCCCCCGCCCAATGACGTCTCATCACTTACTGTCCAGCAAGGCCCTGGGCACAGGTGCGGTTGCAAATGTCCTGGCTGCCAGGGGACAGGAAGAGGGAGCGTCTGTCCCGTCCCTTCTGGTGTGAGAGCCATAAATACTGCACACGCTGGCCACTGGGTACTGGGACCCCCGCATGACAAGCGTCCACCGTGGTCCACCCTTTTGCTGCCCCGCGCTCCACACGGGCCCCTTGCCCCGCTCGTCCTCGCCTGCCTGCCATAGTGCCCTCCCCGCCCTCCCCGGCTCAGGGTATTTCACGTGCTGCGTCCGGATCCACGCCCTGGTGTCTGGGCGGCGTCCACTGCTCTTCCTCTCTGGGTCCTGGAGCCCTTTCTCTGGGTTTGGAGGGAAACAACAAAACAGAAAACTCTAAAGAGAAAATCACAGCATGGCAAACAGTCATCAGATGGGTAATAAGCCTCTGAAAAATTAAGATATTCTTATTCGATTTACATTGTGTTGATCATCAGTCTGCACACCC